AATGGTTTGAGATCAAGGGTAGGTGCCTGAATGATAGATGGAAGCAATTTGTTAGTCGAAATGGGAATGGACTCACGGTTAGTATACTTACCATCAAGCTTAGGTGAGGACTCAAGGGCAGCCACAACTTCAAGTAATTCCTCACTAGGGGGCACGGCATAGGATGACTCTTGTATGCCGTGGGCATGCATGCAATCTGTCCCCTTTGTTTTGAGTTCCATGCCTCGTGTAATGACTTTTTCAAGCGCATCGTCATTCAAATCGTCGAGATATCCCTGCGCCAAAGAGTCAATTATATCAATAGAAAAGCATGAATGGTCCTCACTAGGGTATTTAATGGAATCAGAAAGATTAAAATTAACAACTTCCCCATCGAATTCCATGGACAAAGTTCCACTATACACGTCAATCTTCGTCCGGGCCGTCTTCATGAATGGCCTTCCAAGTAGAATGGGCAGCGAAGGAGCATGGTCCGATTCATCCATTTCAAGGACATAGAAATCCGCAGGGAAGACCAAATGATTAACCTGTACAAGAACATCTTCCAAAACTCCCTTTGGATAGGCGTTAGATCTATCGGCCAATTGTATTATTACCCCATCATTTTTCAATGCTCCTAAGTTCATAGATGCATAAATGGAATATGGCATAACATTTATAGAAGCACCTAAATCAAGCATGGCAGATTCAAATCTAGTATTCCCAATGACACAAGGAATGGTAAAACTACCTGGATCCTTGCATTTGGGCGGTAGTTTGCGTTGCAAGATGGCGGACACATTCTCACCTACCTTTACCACTTCCTTGGTCGACATCCTCTTCCTCGTGTTGCAAAGCTCCTTTAAGAACTTGGCATACCTCGGGACTTGCTTGATTGCATCCAACAGGGGTATGTTCACTTGAACTTTACGAAACGTCTCAAGGATGTCCTTTTCAGCTTCTTCTTTCTTCGTTTGCCTGAACCTACTAGGAAAAGGGACATTCGAAGGGAAAACATTAGTAGGAACTGAATTTAACACATTTTTACCTTTATTGGCCGAATTGGACAATTTGGGGTCATTTGAAGCTTGCGGCAAAGGTATGTCCACCTTTGTCGTGGGTTGCCTTGATTCCTCCTCTTTGATTCTTCGTTTTTCATCCTCTTCGGGGCTTGATGGTGATGGTGTAGGACCTGCCCCGACTTCTTTTCCACTTCTCAATAGTATGGCCTTTGCGCTTTCGAAGCCTCCCTTCGGATTTGGAATGGTGGAACTAGGGAGTTGTCCGGGATCTCGAAACTTACCTACAAACTCGGCAATCTGCCCAATTTGTTTCTCAAGTTGATCCACCCTCTTATCTTGGTTTTGCATAGCCTTCGCTTGATCTTCCTGCCCATTAGACAACTTAGTTAGTATCTTAAGAAGTGCATCATTGTCAAGAGACGTACCTGAGGCACTTGGGCCGGATTGGGCTTGATTTTGGGGTGGGCCGTAGGTTTTGGGAAAGAACCCCGGAGGTTGTTGCCTAAAGCCTCCTTGGTTCTGAGGTTGCTGGGAATCCCTCCACTTGAAATTTGGGTGGTCTCGCCACCCCGGATTATACGTGTTGGAGTATGGATCATGTCTTGACTGATTTTGGCTTTGAAACCCAATGGCATTCGCACTCTCCCATCCGCCATTCTCGATGAGTTGAGGACACTTTTCGGAGGCATGTCCTTGGATAGAACATACGCCACATACCACAGGTCCTTGCATCTTCATTCCCTCGGCCATCTGTGAAACAATAGAAGTAAGATTAGCCAATTGTGAATGAAGATCGGACGTTGAACTTACCTCATGTACTTGGTGCCGTGGGGGTCCTCTTTGGCCTACTCCCTCATACTGTTGAGCATTCAATGCTCGGTTCGCGATCAAGACCTTGGCATCCCTGGGCGTTTTGTCCACCAATGCTCCACCCGCCGATGCGTCAAGCATTTGACGTTCTAGAGGTAGGAGCCCCTCGTAGAAATATTGCAAGAGCAACTCCTCCTTCATCTGATGCTGTGGACAAGAAGCAACCAGTGATTTAAATCGTTCATAATACGAAGGAAAAGACTCACCTTCTTCTTGCTGGATACCACTTATCCTTTTTCGTAAAAGGATGATTCGAGAAGTTGGGAAAAACTTCTCCAGAAAGGCCCTCTTCATGCTCTCCCACGATGTGACGGTTCCGGGAGCTAAATCGTACAACCAATCCTTGGCTTTGTCCATCAAAGAAAATGGAAAAGCCTTCATCTTCAATATACTTCCATCAACGTTGACGGGAGTCATACTTGAGCACACCACCTCAAATTCCTTTAGGTGCTTGTTCGGATCCTCCATGGACAACCCATGGTACTTCGGAATATGATGGAGCAAGCTTGACTTCAACTCAAACTCCTCGGACTTCCCTTCGGCCGGTGGGGGATATTGGATGCACAAGGGTGCTGCATTAGCCAATCCCGAAGCGGAAAGCTCCTTAAGTGTCCGGTTGTCTACGGCCATGTCTTGTGGCTCCTCAAAGATCCCTGCCGTGGCCTCTTCTTCCTCTTCTAGGCCTTGTTCGTCAAGCTCAGGTTCCGGGCTTGGCGGATTTGATTCGTGATGCTTCTTCCTTCGTCTCAAAGTCCTCTCAAAGTCACTGTCAAAGTCCGAGATACGCTCACGAATTGGTTGAGAACTCCGAGTCATGCACTAGTACCTAAAACAAGGAAAACAAAACAAAATCAGAAACTTCAACAAAATAAATAAATAAACAGAAATTAAACAATCCAAGGGATTAGCAAAGTTGCTAATCCCCGGCAACGGCGCCAAAAATTTGATGCGAACTAAGTAAGCACACAAATTAAAACCCTCTTGTGACAATTGTAGTAAAGATGCAAGTAGGGATCGTTCTAGACCGGGGATTAGGAGGGATTACTAAATCACTTGGAAACTGACTCAAAAACGTAAAACAAACGTTAAAAACACTAAACTAGACTCAAAGAATGTAAAACTAAACAATAAAATACTAAAACAAATCAAAAGACTCAAAGAATACAAAACACTTATAAACACAAACTAAGACACTTTCTAACTAAATTGGACACTAAAGTAAAGGGGGATTGAGGTTTTGACGAAATTAAACTAAATGTAACGATTGTAATTTAAAGGCAGAATGTAAATATGAATGTGATGAAAATATGGATGAATGCTAGCTAGAAGGTTCTTCTCCACACATGTCACACTTGCATACAAAATGACTTTTAGTTGGTCTTTCGATAAATTATGGAACTCGACACTCCAAGTTAATTAGGTCCGCTTAAATTAACCTTCAAATTTCCCTAGAATCATTGAATTGGATGAATATGCATCGCAAACAAATTATTCCTAACAAGTTCTCTATATGAACAGCATGATAAAGATACAAGTTAGAATCATTACGTTCTTTGGAAATTATAAGCATCGACAAGGCATTTGTAACTATGAAAAGCATGATACTCTTGCCAGGAATTCAATTAACGCGATTGTTTATAAGCAACCTCCACTACTTGTGAATATAAGTTCATAACTATTAGGTGAAACTCACTTATATTCTAGCGTCAAATTCATGCATGAACATTAAGCGTGCACTCTCAATAAACATACACAAACAAGTTATCAATCAAACAGTTAAATGAATTGAATCCAACATTCATGAAATTCCAACCAAAAGTAATCAATTCATATTGCAAGTATAACCATGGTTTCGAATCACCCCCTAGCTAACTAGGGGGATTTAGCCTCTCATGTTCGCAAAAAGAGAAATACAATTGAATTTAAACATAAAGAACAAAGGATGGATTACACCTCGAACGCCCAACGAATCTACTTGAATTTCTGCGCGTCTAAGTCCTCTTTCCTCTTCTCCTTGCTGCGGCAGTGAGGTTAAATGGATGATTTGGATGTTATTTTGGGTTGGGGATGGATTTAGGGAGGATTGGTGGTGCGGCAAGGTGGTGGAATTATGGGGGAAAGCTGGAATTGGTGTTGCGGCTGTTTGTGAAAAAAATTGGAAGATGAATTAGGGTGCGGCTGTTTAGTGTGTGAAGGGGGCTGGAAATTAAGGGGTTAATATTAGGTTGAAAAATATCCTGGAATGCACGGCATTTTGGAGAGAATAATAAAAAATGGTGCTGCGGCTTTTTGGAATGGATGAAAGTGTAATGCACGGTTTATGGAATGGGAGAATTAGGTTGTGGCTGAATAGAAAATATGAATCAATCACGGCTCCCAGGGTGAATGGGATTTATTATGTGATGGTGCTGCGGGTAAAGGACTAAAAAAATTGGAATTATGGTGGCTCAATGATTAGGGTTAATGGAAAATGCACCGCTTAAAATATATGGTTTATTAGGGTTTTTGATAAATGGGGGGGGGGGGGGGCCACGGCTGAATGGAATGGTGGGATTATGGGATGGTTTCCTTGCGGCTAAATGTGGGAAAAAGGATGGGAATGTGGGAAAAAGGATGGGATTTGCGGCTAGGGTTAGGAAAATGTATGATTTCAGAAAACTAACCCTAGCTTATTTAAAATTAAATCAAAGGCTTACGAAAATAGGAAATTAAAACATAAATATAAAGGTGCGGCTAGGAAGGGAAATAGGGCTAGGGCCTTGGTTTTGTGTCCTAAAGTGCCTATAAGGCCGTCAAAGTGGCTAGAAAATATGGACGTTTAAGTTTAGGAAAGGTTACCAAAACGGGAAACTTAGGGTTAACTTTCCTAAAATAGGAAACCTTGTTTGAGTAGGATTCCTCGTTTTGGTAAGAATTCATCGTTGGAGTATGATTTCATCGTTTCTTCAAGTCTTCAACTCATTCGTTCCTCTTTCGCTCCAAAAGACTCCAATTTGCATCTTCTTGCACACTTTGGCCTTATAATCTGAAAATACACAAAAGTGGCCTTAAACACTAAAACAACTAAGTAAACACAACATAAATGCACGAGAACAAGCTAATTAAGTCGCATGAATATGCTCCTATCAGGGAGGCTGAGGTGGCTGAGGCAAATGCTGAGCTGGCCAAGAAGAAGGCCGGGTGGGCGAAAGAGGCGCAGGTGGCGGAGCTGGAGGCCGCAAAGGCTGTGGCATTGAGGGATGCCGAGTTGCAAACGGAGGTTGAGAGGATGAATGCCTTGACTAGGACCGAGAAGCTAAAGGCTGAGTTCTTGAGCAAGGCTAGCGTTGAGTATGAAACAAAGGTATCTAATATATATATATATATATATATATATATATTTTTTTTTTTTTTTGCGTTTAAAAATAAAATATGCTACTCGTTTTTTTATTCTAATTAAATCTTCTTTAGTGATTTTTTTTTATTCTAGTTAGTTCACAATTTCTTAGCCTTTTTCTTTCTACTCTAAAATCTCGATTAAGTTAACTGAGTAGTGGCTCTTTCCCACAGTGATGAAAAAGAGTTGAGCCATTGCGTGACAGGATGAGTTTGAACCTCGCTAGTGGCTAATCTAACAAAATCTATCGTTTAACAAAAAAATAAACTGAGCAGTAATTAATCTCATATCTTGATTAAGTTAATTGAGTAGTAATTATCTCAAATCTCGATTAAGTTAACTGAATAGTAATTAATCTTTATAAGATCTTTATTTAATTCTCGAATAATGCCAAGGAGACTAAAATTGCAAACTAAATGATGTGAAACCAATAGAAATGAGCACGTCCATCAACATTTAACTGATAAACCAATCATCAACTTCCATATCCTTTAGTTTCTAAATTGAGTCTCCCTAGCATTACTCTTAATTCTCTATATCTTAGACTATGATTAATATTGATGTCTGGTTTCTCTTATTAGTCTCAATATAATTGTCTTTAGTATGTGTCTTGAAGTTTCTCAACGTATGAGTTGGTGATACTTGATTTTGGAATATGTAACTCATCTATTAGATGTTTTGGGTTAGAGTTTGTTAGAGGTTCACTAACATGAAATTCTAACTCTGTCACTGTCTCAACCCACATCATCTAACAAATCCATGCATATTGGAGTTTCAAAAGCTATTTTTTGTTGATGGACATAATCCTTCCCTTTGCTTATATCCATTAGTTCCAAATCCACACACGCACGCGCGCACACATATATAAATAGATTTGGAATTAATTGACGACGGTTGGTTGATTAGTAAAGTTATTGTGTCAAAGCTTTATCTAACAACAGTGTTCATAAACAAATTAAAGGTACAAGAGGCAGATTGGGAGTTATACAACAAACAAAAAGCCTCAGAGGCAATTCGTTTCCAAAGGGAGAAAGAGGCAGAGGCCAAAAAGGCATTGGCGGAGGCAGAATTCTATGCACGTCAACAAGTTGCCGACGGAGAATTTTATGCAAAGAAAAAAGAGGCTGAGGGACTCATGGCCCTTGGACAAGCTCAAGGTGCTTATCTACGCCACCTTTTGGATGCAGTTGGAGGAAACTATGCAGCCATGAGAGACTTTATGATGATCAACAGTGGCATGTTTCAAGAAATTGCTAAGATCAATGCCGAGGCCATGCGCGGACTTCAGCCGAAAATCAGCATTTGGACAAATGGCGGGGGAGAGGGTGGTGATGGTGGTGCAAGTGGGGCAATGAAGGAGGTTGCCGGAGTTTACAAGATGCTGCCACCATTGTTCAAGACGGTTCATGAACAAACCGGCATGTCGCCTCCGGCTTGGATGGGCACTTTGGAAAATTCCCACTCTAGCAACTAAACTCTCAATTGAGTCCGAGGGTACTTTTACATGTGTTGTGAATGAGAATTATCCGAGCGTATGTATATAAAAAACATCGAGTTGTTGATGTCAAATGACATATTCAGGATACCAAGTAATAAATTGACTGAGAAGTTTAATTCTTATACAATGCACCTCCCTAATCCTTGGTTGGAAGAATATTTCTCTAGATAATACTTGCATCCCTTTCTCGTGGGATGAACTCATACCTTGACACATGTTACTTTTGTTTAAAAGAAAACAATCCCTAAATTCTAGAAACACTAATCTCTTAGGGTCCGTCGAATAACGTTTTACAAAACGAAATGACAAGGACGATGGATTCGAACGTGATTCCTTAAGGGCGTTTTCATCTTTCCAAAGCGGACGAATCGCTATTTTTATTTGTCTTTTGTGTTTTTCACCAACATCAAAAGTTAAGAGGACTACAGTTAACCAAAACATAGGAGTTATCAAGTTTATGCAGCCACATCCACACCACACGATTTAAAATCAAAGGGAAACCCACAATTCCAATCAAGGGGAAAATCCCAACATTTGTTCGCAAAAGATAAATTCATAGGTAGGAGAAAGCAAATGTAGTCATCTTCGTATTCGATCATCAAATGACTCAACGGCTCTGTCCAAGCTCGTGCATTACCTATACATGTAACTTAATCATTCACAAAATGAATTCGTGTTCATGTTTGTATAATTTGGTCATACGAACAACTGAATTCAAGTGTATGACACGACGTGTGCAACCCAAGTTGATTAGCGAGACATGGCAATTCTCACCAACTTTTCTGTAAGTGGCATCTGTACCAAAAGGCGGCGCAGCTTTGTTATATACAGACTCAGTGTCTACACCAGCTCCAACCAGCTCTTTTACCTATTCCCCCCAATTGGGAATGTTTGCTGTGGCTTCATTCACCATTTTCACCAGGGTCACCAACACGTTTAAATTTCGAGACAAGATGGAATAAGCAGGGGCAAAGCAATATCAGTTATGTTATTCGCTAGCGTAACCAATTATGCAGAAACACTACTACTACTAGGTGATGATACATACCACACTTTCTGGAACACCATGTGGAGGCATGGTAAGGTTTCTAGGCGGTGCGACAGTATCATAAGACCTTTTATCAAATCTCCATTCTCCAATTTTCCCATATGTTAGTTCACCCTGATATCAGAATATCAAAACCAGACATTAAAGAGCTGAAAGTATTCATTTGAAAACTGAAGACACGTATTGGGCAGTAAATCGAACTGTCAGAAATAAAATAAAAGTATACAAGAGCTTATCGTACATACTACCTTCATATTATAGTCACATCCATAAGTGTAATGAATTATGAACTTCTTGCCAATTTTTTTATCCCACGGAGGCTGATATACATCAGAAAAATAGTAATGCTGGTAAGTTAAACGGTAGTAGTAAATAATGAAATATATAAACAAATCAATTAATCTTGTAGAAGGTAACAAATGGCTAAATTCAAAATTACGTAATAACTTGCAATCGAGATAAGTTATACGTTCAAAGAAAGAAAAGGGGTTCTAAACCTGAAGCATGATGTCCTTGTATAAGATATTACCAACCCCATGGTGAGCAGATGCAACAGCATAAGCATACCTATATCATGATGCAAAACTAACTTATAAGGTCAAGGAGTGTTCTGATAACTAATTTAGTTAACCGGCTGGAACGTCATCAAAGAACTAAATTAACTAGTGAGAGCTCACATTTCAAGAACCCAACCAAAAGCTTTATCTGTCTCAGGATCCTTCTTCATTGCCAAAGAAACATTCATCCACGTGGGAGCAATTTTCTTGAGAGATTCCTAATATGATTTATTTTAAAAAGAAAAGTCAAAACACCATAAACCTAAAGATAACTGTTGTTATAACTGGGAGAGACGACAAGTTTAATACCTTCCCAACGATAACGGGAGAATTTCCAATTGGATCAATTTTAGTTATTGGTCCCTTGTCCTCAGAGAAGTATTTCCGGAGGACTGACTCCCATCCTATCCAAGATTTTCGATTTGAGACATTTTCGGTTCGGTTTCGAGACATTTTTGGTTCGGTTAGAGATTTTCGGTATCATTTTCACCCCTAGAATTAGCTAGTTGCAGGCTCACAAGTCCTGGATGGTTTGTCCACAACAAACAAATGACACGACTCCCATCCTATCCATATAATACTAGCCTATCCTATCCAAAGTACCGACTCCCATTCTGTTTTGCATGCATTGGATGGGATTTGTTACGCCTGGCAAACGGGTCGTGTTTGTCGTGTTCGTGTCGTTTTCGTGTAACACTTGTTATCTTAACGGGTCGTGTCGTGTCACACCCGTTATGACCCGTTAAGAAAAAAAATATATTTTTTTTTTAAATTTGCACATATCACACATTGCCACATAAATATTACTTCAAAACATTAAAACATTTGTCGTTTAAGTACTATATCTACATTCGAAAATAAGAGCCTAATAAAAAAAATAATACATACACTACTAATCTATTACAAATATTAAATGTGCAAGGATATGCAAAATGGAAGAGTTTTTGTTTTCAAGATTGTAAGTCTTTCTCAAAAGTTTACACCTCTATCTACAAAATCTTCAATTTACATCGATCATTATGAAATTATATTGAAACTTTGGCTTCATCTATTGCCTTGAAGAGTTATGTTGAAGATGTTTTCAGTAAGGTTTTCCACGTCAGAACTCTCTTCCGCATAAACTAAGTATAGAAAAACCAAAAATTAAAAATCATTCAAATTATGAGAAGTTTACCAAAATAATTATGAAAAGAAATAAAATAATAATACTATACCATATAAAAATATATTAAAATAACCGTTAAATCGTGATTTTTCGTATATAACCGTCGAAAAGCTTTGTTCCATTCCTTGATCTCTGAATGTTTGTTTTTTGTGATTTTTTGTTGATGTGATCTCCAAGCATATACAAACAAGTTTGACGGTTTGGATTGTTGAAATTAGTTTTGGAGAATTCGTATCCCAACAAAACGATAGATTGACTAACACTTAGAGTTTATTTATACTTTCATTAAGTACAACATAAGATTTTGTGGTATCCACTTGTGTAAATATTTTAAATTGAAGATCGAATTCATTCATTGTATTCATATAGGGTCAAGGAGTGTACCTGTAAAAAATCATCAAAATCGGAGTTAAAATAACCGTTAAATCATGATTTTTCGTATATAACCGTCGAAAAGCTTTGTTCCATTCCTTGATCTCTGAATGTTTGTTTTTTGTGATTTTTTGTTGATGTGATCTCCAAGCATATACAAACAAGTTTGATGGTTTGGATTGTTGAAATTAGTTTTGGAGAATTCGTATCCCAACAAAACGATAGATTGACTAACACTTAGAGTTTATTTATACTTTCATTAAGTACAACATAAGATTTTGTGGTATCCACTTGTGTAAATATTTTAAATTGAAGATCGAATTCATTCATTGTATTCATATAGGGTCAAGGAGTGTACCTGTAAAAAATCATCAAAATCGGAGTTAAAATAACCGTTAAATCATGATTTTTCGTTTATAACCGTCGAAAAGCTTTGTTCCTTTACTTGATCTTTGAATGTTTGTTTTTTGTGATTTTTTGTTGATGTGATCTCCAAGCATATACAAACAAGTTTGACGGTTTGGATTGTTGAAATTAGTTTTGGAGAATTCGTATCCCAACAAAACGATAGATTGACTAACACTTAGAGTTTATTTATACTTTCATTAAGTACAACATAAGATTTTGTGGTATCCACTTGTGTAAATATTTTAAATTGAAGATCGAATTCATTCATTGTATTCATATAGGGTCAAGGAGTGTACCTGTAAAAAATCATCAAAATCGGAGTTAAAATAACCGTTAAATCATGATTTTTCGTTTATAACCGTCGAAAAGCTTTGTCCCGTTACTTGATCTTTGAATGTTTGTTTTTTGTAATTTTTTGTTGATGTGATCTCCAAGCATATACAAACAAGTTTGACGATTTGGATCGTTGAAATTAGTTTTGGAGAATTCGTATCCCAACAAAACGATAGATTAACTAACACTTAGAGTTTATTTATACTTTCATTAAGTACAACATAAGATTTTGTGGTATCCACTTGTGTAAATATTTTAAATTGAGGATTGAATTCATTCATTGTATTCATATAGGGTCAAGGAGTGTACCTGTAAAAAATCATCAAAATCGGAGTTAAAATAACCGTTAAATTGTGATTTTTCGTTTATAACCGTCGAAAAGGTTTGTCCCGTTACTTGATCTCTAAATGTTATTTTTTTGTGATTTTTTGTTGATGTGATCTCCAAGCATATACAAACAAGTTGACGGTTTGGATCGTTGAAATTAGTTTTGGAGAATTCGTATCCCATCAAAACGATAGATTAACTAACACTTAAGAGTTTATTTATACTTTCATTAAGTATAACATAAGATTTTGTGGTATCCACTTGTGTAAATATTTTAAATTGAAGATCGAATTCATTCATTGTATTCATATAGGATCAAGGAATGTACCTGTAAAAAATCATCAAAATCGGAGTTAAAATAACCGTTAAATCGTGATTTTTCGTTTATAACCGTCGAAAAGATTTGTCCCTGATAGGAGCATAATTAGGCGACTTACTTAGCTTGTTTTCGTGCATTTATATTGTTAATTCCTAGTTGTTTTAGTAGTTTAAGCCATTTTCGTGTGTTTTTAGGTTCATATGGCAAAGGGAGCAAGAAAGTGCATTTTGAGGCTATTTGGAGCATTTTTGGGCATGGATTGGATAGCTTAATCATGGAGCAAAGAGGATGGACGAAATTGAAGCCTTGCATGCTCTTTAGGACATAAAACAAAGGGCCTAGCCCAATCAAACAATCCTTTGAGCCATGCAAAACCCCTAGCCCAATCAAACAATCCATCAATTCACATGCAAAACCACCATTTCCAACCCACATGCACCCAAACACTTCCTTGTTGCCATGCCTTTCCCTTCCACTTTCCAACCTTTCCAAATGCAATTTCATCAACACATGCATTTCCTTCATCATTTCCAACCCACATGCACCCAAACAAAGCCAACCTAGCTAACCCTACATGCATTATTTATTCACTCTTCATCATTGCATTCATCACCAAAGAACTCCCCACCATTGCCGTGCATTCCCCCTAATTCCATCCATCCTCCACACCTTTCCAACCTAGCCACATCCTTTAATCATCCCCCCTTTAAGTTATGATTTTATTTCCTAACCCTACATGCATTATTTATTAACTCTTCATCATGCATCCACATTTTAAATAATCAAAAACTTCCCCCAAAGCCGTGCCTTCCCTTGCCATTTTCAGCCATCACACTTCATCATTGCAGCCACCATTCACCCTAGTTGTCAATCACATACTTTCCCATTGTATAATTCATCCACATGCATCTTTAATCATTCACTCACAAGCTTTAACCAACAAACAAATCAGCCATAACACACAAACACACCCATGCCGTGGCCACCCTTGCATTTCCAGCATTCCCATTTGCATTTTCAGATTTCCACCAACCAATCTAGTTGTCATTACACATGCATTCCTTTCTTTAATCATTCCTAGTTGCCATTCACATGTTCTCCCATCCATTCCTTCCCTATAAAACCATGCATTGCATTCATACAATTCATTCAATTCACTCTCCATTTTTCATCCACAACACAAACACAATTTTCCCCTTGTTGCCGTGAGCTCCCTATCCATTTTCTGCATCATTCTCTCCTCCACTCCATTTCCATCACTCCCCATTCCCTTAAAACACTACCCAATCCATTCAACACACCAACAACATCCCTTAGACCTTATGCTACAACGAAGAGGAGGAGAAGAGTGCCTAAACGTTCATACAATTCAAGTTTGAGTTGTTGGAATTTTTAGGTGTTGCTTTTCCTCGATTCCAATGTTTAATTTCAATTCTCTTTGTCTTGTACGTATGAGGAACTAAACCCCCCTTGGCTAGGGGGGGATTCGAAATACATGTTTATGCTTGCAATATGATTTGATTACTTCTAATTGCGTTTCATAAGTTGTGAATTCAATTTGTTTAACTATTTGATTGATAACCTATTTATGTATGTTTATTGAGAGTGCACGCTTAATTTTCATGCATGAATATGACGCTAGAATATAAGTGAGTTTCACCTATTAGTTATGAACTTATATTCACAAGTAGTGGAGGTTGCTTATAAACAATCGCGTTAAATAAATTCTTGGCATAAGTTTCATGCAATCATAGTAACGAATGCCTCGTCAACACTTATAGTTTTCAAAGAACTTAATGATTCTTGCTTGTATCTCTATTATGCAATTCATGTAGGGAACTTGTGGGGAATGCTTTGGGTTGTCGTATGCAATCATCCAATTCATTAACTTAAGGAAAACTTGACGGTTAATTTAAGCGGACCTAATTAACTCGGGGTGTTGAGAATTCATGGTTTATTGAAAAGCAATTAGAAATCGTTTTGTATGCAAGTATAACATGTGTGGAGATAAACCCCTTAGCTAGCTTCCCATCCATTCATTTCCGTCAAATTCGTATTTACAATTTGTTTTCTTTGCAATCTATCCATTTTAGTTTAATCTCGTCCAAACCTAAATCCCCCCCCATATTTTGTTTAAGTCTTAGTCTTAATCTTTCTTATTTTTAGTTTTGCATTCTTCGCATCAAATAGTGTTTTAAACTTGTTTTTACGTTTTTGAAGTCAAATCCAAGTGATTAACAATCCCTCCTAATCCCCGGTCCAGAACGATCCCTACTTACATACTTACTACAATTGACAAAAAGAGGGTTTAATTTGTGTGCGTATAATTCTCGCATCAAATTTTGGCGCCGTTGCCGGGGATTAGCAACTTTGCTAATCTCTTGGATTGTTTTATTTTCTTTTGTTTTTATTTATTCCAAATTCTTAATCTTGTTTTGTTTCTTGTTTTAGGTACTAGTTTATGACTCGGAGTTCTCATCCGATTCGTGAACATATCTCGAGCTTTAACGCCGATTTCGAGCGAGAATTGAGACGAAAGAGAAA